CAAGCTCAACATCCTGTGTGGACAATGTTTAGCTGACAACAAATGTGAGACACCGAGGTAGGAAGCATGGATCTTTTCACTGATAATTAGGGCTAAACAATTAGATGACTATATGGTTAATCAACAGAAAGTTAATCCAGGACAAAAATATTCATTCAGATTTTGCCTGTATATAATTAGATTTTCAATCACTTGGAAAACATTTATATAATAAAAACCCACATTTACTTGGTATTCAAAAAACCCAACTGCTTGCTTAGACATCTGACATCCTAACACTCTCAAGCACTGGTTATTCTCTGGTTCCTCATATTCCAGTAAGAACATCCACGATGGTGTCCAGTCTGAGTAGATCATCGTTTGTCAGCCACCCTCCATCAAAACACTGCATGACATTGTGTTTGACAGCAAAGGAAACATTGCCATCGACCCTTTCCACAATCACTTTCCTCATAAGCTTGCGAGAAAATAAATCTCTTAAGACCAAGACCAACCGTTAGTGTAAAAGCTCCCTTCCGGCAGCTGTGTGTGAGCACTTAGCTAGTCTCTCTCTTTCAAATCAATTAAGATTTGTCTGTACCTAGAACCAACTACCACTCTCTTGTCTCAGAAGTTACCGAGTTTCCTGTTATAAAAGTGATGGCATCTGAATCCGCACACCTCCAATTCTGCAGCATCATGGGGTCAATGTGAGCCATGTGTCCACTCAGCTGTGTCCTAATCCACAGCAAAAGTCCCCCCCCCACATATCCACGTGTAAGGGCAACCACTTATCTGTTGTGTATAGACATCACCATGGAGATGAAGCTTCTCGACTAGCAATAAATAAGCAACATTGTCAAGCTGTGCTATCAGGGAATGAGTCACATTAGCTAATCACACAAACCCTGCCCAAGTACCTTTTTCTCTGTTATCTATGGGCTACATAACTCCTACCCACTTCCACTTGCTATAATGGTAATCAATAACGGACAATGGACAATATACAAGCTCTATAGTGAAAGGCCCCTTATAGTACAGAAACCCTTGACTACCAGAGATATTGGCTCGAACACTAAAGTAAGTGTGACAAAACTGACTTCCGTTTTGTGACCTTTCCCTGCCAGGAGCTTTTCTCTTTCACAGCTTGATGTATTGATGTCCAAATCACTTCTAAGGCTCATTATTTTCAGGTTGTATAGAAAAAGTCCTTGATTTTTATTTATCTGTTTTATTTTAGAAGGAAGCAACAGGTTTAAACGGATTATCTTTGGGATGGCCTGTTCCCACTATGTCCAAAACCTGTGTTTCCTGCTGCCAAGAAGATGGTGATCACCACTGTTTCCTTCTATGAGATGTGAAATAGTGATGACAAGATGGATCCTAAATAGCCCATCCTCAATGAAATATCTGTTTTATGTCAAATGTGAGGAGTGATATGGGGTCAGTCTTCATATAACTTTTTGTATTATAAATATAACTGCAAAGGTACCCATAACCACTTAAATATAAGCTTGTTTTCTTAACCTTCTGTGATTGTAAACTGAATATTTAACGCAATTACAGCAGTCGGGTAAGGGGCAGTTAGCAGATAGAGGATCTGAAAGCTTACTCGTGCTCTGCCAAAGGTTTTCTGCACAAAAACATCCTGAACATTTGGACACCAAAATATGCACAGAGGGTATGTGTATACACAAACACACAACCCAGATGGTTCATGACTGAGCAGAATAAATTTTGGATATGCTACTTTATCAGGAAAGATTCCTGCTCTTTCACAACAAAATATGAAGGTAGTTAAAGGCGAATCTTCAACAGCAACTTGACGCATCAAAAAATCTTAAGATTTTGACAGGAGGTGTTTGCATGATTGTGAAATCCCGAGTGGAAGGATCCGATATCTGAACAGAATTATGGTTGTCCATGAAGAGACATGAGTCCAAATGTTCTGACTGTCTTTTCCATCAGAAATATCATATTCAAAAGATGGATGGATAGAAAAATACAGGCAATTCAGACATATACATTATGCCAGGCACAAAAGACATAATATGAAGTGCCCTTACAGTATGGCCACAATTTGGAGCTTTAAACATCAAAATGACACTATTCTGACAGGATATGTCAGACAAGAGAATTATATACAGGGCCAGACACAAGCTCAGTCTGTCAAAAACTACAATTTTGGATGTGGTCATATTATCGTAGGCAATATAATATTTACTGTCAAAACAACACTGGCCTGTGCCAGACAAAATGCTTTCAAAAGCTTTTCATAAAATAGTTGGTTTCCCCCCAGGACTTGCAGACATCAAGGTAAATATTATTTTAAGGAAGAGAGATCATCAAGATGCTCCACGATTATCCTTCCTGCTTTAACCTCTAGAGTCCCTGCGTCCTCATATGAGGACCAAAAATGCATATGAAACCAAAGCTCAGGACTCTAGAGGTTAAGACAAACACTGCAAATTTTACTATACTGTAGTTTCATACTAAAGTCCAATTTGACCTCAAAAATGTAAAAATTCCCTTTCTGACCCAAATGTTCAATGATATTTTATACATTAATTCTGTAAGGGAGGCCATCAATTTAAAACAAAGCCACAAAGGAGCAGACAGTGATAGCCAACCCCCTCAAAACAGTTAATTAATTAGAGATGGGAATGAGAGGTCTAAATACACCGTGCATTTAAAAAGATACCCGAAAATTCATTTCTTACCGTATTTTCATCTTTGAAACTGTATTTTAATCTTGCGAGGTTGACAAAATTTCAGCATGATATAGGCTATTTATTTTTATGATCTATGATCACTTTATCAGAGCAAACACAGCTGGATGAATGTGTTGACCACACTTCAGGTAACAACACAAAAAAAATCATTCTGTGATGCACACTCTCCATTTCTTATTTAGTATCACATACAGTAACACTAATACTAATACTAATGTATCTTGAGTCTTAAAATGTGTTCTTTCAATGTTAACAAGGCTTAGTTGCGGGTGGCTCAGTCATTACATATTTGCATACACGTGTGGATAAAAGAAGCCTGCAGCTCTGTTATAAAGTTGTGCCATATTTTATTCCACTGTTTTCACTGTGAAGGATGCTAGAGCAAGCAAGGGCTGTGGTTTGGTTTGGTTTGGTTTGTTTTGTTCTCTCTCTCTCTCTCTCTCTCTCTATGTGTGTGTGAACCCAATCGCTGTTTAATTTGCTTCAGCCTTGCCAGCCATTAATGTGTCCATGTAAAAAAGACTGCAATTGTTTTGGCGAATATAAAATGTATTATTATATTGTCCAAAACTTACCTTTATGTAATGTTATTTTTACACTTTGGTGCCATTAACACAAGTTTTAAAATATGTCCATGTCATGGCTACTCATATTTTTTTTTAAAAAGAACCCCCACATTAGCGGCTGCTCTGTTAAACAGCCGCTGGTAAGATGTGGGTGCCTTGCTCCACAGAGGTAACACTGTCAGCAGCTCAACCTCAAATACGATTCTTGTTTGGAAATATTCTTAAGAAAAGTCCGGGTTTTAAAACTAATTGCAAGAAACTGTATTCAATTGTCTACCAGACTGAAAGAAACACGTTTTATATTTGAAACAAACTGCTGTTTCTGACCGTATAAAGAAATTATCAAGAAACCCAAAACTTACCTTTGACACACAATAACGACATGGCAAAGCGCTTCCAGGAAAAATCTAGCCTCGCAGTTTGTGGAGCAGACTATCAACGGAGATTTACTCTGTCCGGTAACATTATAACATCCTGAAAATCACTTTATTTAATCGCTGATAAGCTACTCTTGGATGTTTAGTAGTTTGCTGATGTAGAGCTTGGGCGGAAAACAACATCCCCTGGCCATTGCCAAGCCACAATCATAACTCCCATCACAGGTTTCCACACTGACGGATAACCTGAGGTCGCAGAACGACAGGATTGGGAAAAGCGAGGCACCTGTTACTGGCGTCTGCTGTGTCCAATGACAATGTAGCATCATGCTGGTGGGCGGAGCCGTCTGAAGAAATCTCACCAATCGTTCACAAGAACAGGTTGGGGGAACAAGCAGGTAACACAGTCATGTCCTAAGAAGAAAAGAACACTTTATGGGAGTGAGATTTGGAGTTGTTTCTCGGCTTTTTTTTTTCTAGGAAAGCGACTTAATAATTCGTTTTCTACGTTCATAGGTATCTTATGTGTATGTGACTAATTTACAGTTGTGTGGGGTTTGACAATTAGTTTCTTAGGCTTTTTTTTTAATTTATTTCCAAGCTCATGTCCTTTTTTGCAGCAGAGCTTCAACAAAGTCAACAGCACCACCCCGTGTTTTTAGTGAGTTACATTGGGCCCTGAAGCATTGTTCAATGATAAAAGGAAAAGCCTGAAAAAACAATGGCACATTTAAAGCAGTTGTTTCAGGAAGTATTCAGACCCCTTCACTTTGTGCTGTAGATTCATTTTAAATTCGAGGACCTCGCATAATTGGCTGCATTTATATTTCCCTGACCAGTCCCTATGTGTCCCAGTGAGTTTTTTGGACTCTTTATTCAAAAGGCATTTCACAAAGTGATGCTCACACGTAGTGGAAAATGTTTGTGTTGGCTAAATTTCGTTCAAATAATTGATTTGCTTGTGAACTGAACAATGCCATACATTTACATTTGTAAAGCTTATGTCCATGTATTTAATAGCCTACATTTGTCACCATTCGTTTCTATATGTTTTTGACAGCTGTCAGTCCAGCAAAAAACATCTGGTTTTATAGCTGATGATTATATTCCTTACAGATAATGGTTTATTAGTATAGGTTTTCTTTTCTTAAGCAGGCCTACTGCTGACGTTTACTTGTAGGTGAAGCCACAGCCACACAGCAAAGCACGTATTCCAGTTATGAGTTTAACCCTTAGTGTGGATCATATTATGATGTTCGTGTGGAGCATAAATGATTTTTTTATACACGATTCTTACACAGCAGAAGACTAGTGCCACTAATAACTATATTATTATTGCGCTTTCGGAACCATAGTCGTTAGGTGTTTCTCGCACTGACGGAGTTTTTCAACGTTGCACTAATGGTGTAACATTCGTTTCCTGATCGGAAAGCGTCACCTCACATGAGTGTAGGTTTTGGTTAAAGGCAGGTGTAAAAAGCTGAATCTCCTTTATAAAATCGTTTTATTTAGATAATGTTACGAACACTGTGTCGGGCCGGCGGGAGCCTTTTGCAGGTAAATGAAAGTGTTTGTTGTTATTGTATATGACATAGTTCGTTCCTAGTGTCATTCAGCCTGCATCCATGTGTTAATCCACGAAATATAACGAGAGTAACTCTAAGATGAAATGCTACTCACTATTATTTAAAAAAATCACATGTAAGACTAAACCTTTAAGTTGTTTAAAATAAGCACAACAAAAAATCACATGTAAGACTAAACCTTTACGTTGTTTAAAATAAGCACAGCAAATAAATAAACATCTTTACACACTGTATGCTGAAAGAAAGGACTACTGAGCAAATCAGCTGAAACATATAAAAGCAACGGTAACGTTGCAAAATGTAAAGTGAACATAAGATAAATGTTGGTAGTTCCTAATCCACCGAAAAGTAGAATTAGGTCGTACTAGTTTATTGTAATTTTATTTTATATTATCTCAGATTTTGTTTTGTTCAATTTAGAGCTGTAAATATTACTCATAGGTTATTAAGAAATATGTCAAATGCAGTTTTATTTTAGCTTCTGCATTGTGAGAATTTGTTGGTTTTCATCACTGTATATTGAATATATTTAGATTCCAGCTGTTTGTAGGACAATTCATGGCATTTGAAGGTGTCAACTTTTTGTCTGGGAAATCAAAAGGGGATATTGCACTGTTTTCTTACTTTTTATAGACTAAAGGATGAACTGATGAATCAAAAAAGAACATTCATGATCTTTAATTATATACAAGTGACATAATCATTGCAGTGAAGACAGGTTTAAAAATCATATTTTAATGATAAATTTTGTAATAAGAAATGTGTTCATGAAGCTGACATTCTTCAAATCTAACGTCATTTATTGTAATCATGCATCTCTGAAGCAAAGCCAGCGAACTGTGACAAGGTTGTGGGTAACACCAGCCCAGCAGCGATGGGCGTCCCGCCTGCCCATGAACACCATGCTGCTGTTTGTGCCCCAACAGGAAGCCTGGGTGGTGGAGAGGATGGGTCGCTTCCATCGGATCTTAGAGCCGGTATCAACCACTATTTTTAATAAAGTCCAACATACAAACCAGTAGGTGGTTTATTAGGTACACCTAGCTAAATGTAATGTAGTCTAATACAGCAGTCTTGCAGTAAAATTGTTCATAAACGTAATAATGTTCAGTTTTTGTTTGAGGAATCAGCTGTATTATCATGTTTGAGCATGTATTTTGGGGTGCTGTTGAACTGTACTGCTTGAACCATACTGTACTGGAGGCTGCATTTTGTATAGTTTGCTGCCACCAGGCATGTTGAAGTATACATTATCACAAGGAAACAGGATGTGATGTGAGGGGAATAGAGTGTTTAGGAGCAGGCTTATGGTGTGAGTTTAAGTCTCAAAAGACTTTGGAATTAGGTAGTTTTAAAGTTCTTATACAAAGGTTGGTGTATAGTCAAAAAAAACTCGCTTCAGCATCATTAAAAAAGTGGACTTGTAAAAATTTCCAACCTACCTTGTCCTAGTGTCAAATAGATAAAACAGGTATGTGAAGATGCTGGCATGCTAACATATCCTCTTTCAATTCTTCTAGGGTTTAAATTTTCTGATACCCATACTTGACCGAATTCGGTATGTGCAAAGTCTCAAAGAGATTGTGATTGATGTCCCAGAGCAGTCTGCAGTATCTCTAGGTAACCAACATCCCTTCTTTTTTCATAACTCAGAGAATGAGAATGAAGCAAATTTCTCTTTGGGCATTGTCTGTAACAGGGGTGCCCAATACATCGATCGTGATTGACCGGTCAATCACAAAGGTAGTGTTGGTAGATCGCGTGTCAATATGATCAGCTTAGTTAATGCTTTCAAATGAAAAATGCAACATCTCTCCTCAAAGCTCAAACATATATTGTGTTTACATATATGTCTAGTATTTTTAGTGTAGGTAGATCATTTTGACTTGGTCATTTGAAAAGTAGCTTGCAAGGCGAAAAAGTGTGGGCACCCCTGGTTTATCATTTGGTTAATAAATATGCATTTCATCCTGAGTGACACAATTTAGTAAAAGTTTGATTGTATTTCAATAGGTGTACTTTCACTTTTCTTGCTTTTACAGATAATGTTACGCTACAGATGGATGGAGTGCTTTACTTAAGGATCCTAGACCCTTTTAAGGTAAAGTTACAATTTTATATACTTACAGGATTGTCCCACCTTTTTGATGCTGTATAGTAAATGTGTTTTCTAACTCTTAAACACTTCTGCTTGTTCCCAGGCAAGTTACGGCGTTGAGGATCCAGAATACGCTGTCACGCAGCTTGCACAGACCACCATGCGGTCAGAACTGGGCAAGCTCACACTGGACAAAGTGTTCAGGGTAACGAACTATTGCTGTATGACACATTGCTCCATATTCTTGTTTTAGCAGGTATTGCAGGCATCTTTGATATTATTTCTGTCAATTTATTTTCAAGGAAAGGGAGTCTCTTAATGCCAACATCGTCCATTCCATCAATCAAGCTTCAGATGAGTGGGGAATCCGTTGCCTCCGTTATGAAATTAAAGACATACATGTTCCACCGCGTGTCAAAGAATCCATGCAGATGCAGGTGAGGTGTTAATCTGCTGACTTTGTGAAAGAAAGAAAAGGGATCAAAGGAGCTCAAGAATATTATGCACTGAAATCTTTTTGTTATCTGGAATTTTCTTTTACATCTGCCAGCGTCGTTAAGTTTTAAACTCATTATATGCCTTCAGAAACAAATGCAATTTTATGACTGTAGAGACTGGCAGAAACATTTTGCTTTTGTGCAGATGTCTCAGGAGATCTTACTGTTAACTGTAGGAATAGGACTACAGCCACTCTAAAACTCAGTACTTTGCTGATGAGACTCAAGCTAGCAAGAGACCTATTAATCACAGGAAAAGTTTGATTTCCTTTGTGTAGGTGGAGGCTGAGCGTAAAAAAAGAGCCACAGTGCTGGAGTCTGAGGGGACGAGGGAAGCGGCCATTAATGTTGCTGAAGGCTGTAAACAAGCGCAGATCCTGGCCTCAGAGGGTGAAAAAGCAGAGAAGATCAATAATGCAGCTGGTAGGTGCATTTACAGACCCAATTTAATTGTTTTATTTCTGCAGGGTTTAAGCTTAGAGGGATGGCTCTTGTTTGTTTTCATATCTGCTGCTCTTAGTTATGATTTAAGCTGAGGTTATACAGCTAAAAAAGGCTGAATATACTTGAATTGCTAATATATTTTTCAAATAGTTACAAGTTCTGTGTCAATAATTGATTACCCTGTTCCTGCCAGGTGAGGCCCAAGCAATTTTAGCCAAAGCTGAGGCAAAAGCAAAGGCCATTCGTCTGCTGTCAGATGCTCTGACTGAACAGGTGATTGAGTTGCATTCCTTTTTTAATGGAATAACCACAAAAGCAGTCTTATATATGGGTTGGTGTGAGATTTCTTGCTATATATATTCCATGTTGTACAGAATGGAAATGCAGCAGCCTCGCTAAGTGTGGCAGAGCAGTATGTGTCTGCTTTCTCCAGCCTTGCCAAGGAGTCCAACACCATCCTTCTGCCCTCTAATACTGGTGACATTAGTGGAATGGTCACACAGGTATGTATGCATGCGCCATTATTTGTGTTCATCCTCAGTGCAGGGTCACTTTTTACGGAACTACTCTTGGACTTATATCTGCACAGATAAAATGTTATTTGTTCAAATTATGCCTCTAATGCCATTATGCTACTTTTCAGGCCATGACCATTTACAGTACGTTGGCAAAGACAAGCCCAAAAGTTGCAGTAGAGGTGACTGAGGAGAAGAGCGACCAGGCTGTGAATCAATCGACGACATCTCAATAGCAGAGGAGTCGGAGAACGAACTGAAAGTATTAAAGGACACAGAATCGGAAGAAGCAGAATGTGTTTTGTTACAGGGGCTCTGAGGCATCACTGTGAGACTAATGTTCACATACCTTCTACTGATAAAACGAGAGAAAAAACTGCAACATTATAAACACATGATGCCTTACCTAAGGAGTCCTTGGAAAACCACCTTTTTATAAGATTGTTTCTAATGTTTGCTGACTTTTTGTTTATGTTCAGTTATTGTCAGATTGGGAAATAAAGTTCACCCGCCAGTGAGATATCTTAATACCCATCAACAAATCTCGAAATTGATGGTAGATTTGGGTTGTTAGCCACTGTGGCCAGTGGATGCAAAATATAAACCCTGGATGTTCTGCGGTATATGATGTATTGGCATATTTGCTAGTAGTGTGTAAATCTGAATGGAATTGGATTTAAAGGTTTTGAAACTGACAGCTCTATTTCAGAATATAAGTGAAATATATGATTGTGTTTAATGTTTTGTCCCTTTGAAACCTGTTTTCAGGTTCTCTGGTTTTAGTTAGCTCAGGTAAGCTAGTTGCATTGATATGGCTTGTTTACAGACATCAACAATTCTTCAACGGCCTTGAGCATCAGTGGGATCAACAACTTTGAGTTAGTATATATGATGTCTATATATAATGCCTCAGAATGATGAGAAGTTCCCCAAAGTGTAGTTAAATAATAGTTTGATCCTTGTTTAATTAAACAGTTATCTGCTTGCAAAAGCTATACCAATAGTTGCTTAATAATAGTTGTGATCAAGTATACAGTTTTAAGTAATTCCCATATACAAAGTCAGCACAAGCAACAAAATTTCTTGCTCTCATTATTGTATTCCCCTCATATTTTCTGGGATGTATTTCTTAAATTTCATGGTTCTTTGCAAAGACAGCAAATTTATTTCTTAAGTTTCATTAATACTGGTTTGTGGAAAACAATTCACTGACACATCTAGGTCATTTAACACTCACAAAGAGAGTTCACAAACCATTGTTTAAAACTATACAATTATGTAAGAGGAAGATAGTATAGAACTTGTGAGAAATGATTGGACTTCCCTAAATGTAACTTTTGGAAAATGGAAGAAAACTCCCAGCATGATAAAGTTGATAGCCATGTTTTGTGTCAGAAATTGGTTTCTGTAATGTTAAATAACCATGAAATAAAATACTTTAGTTGGATAACTAGCCTTTGCGGTTAATATATTTGAGCATTTACCACTATGGTTTTAAACCAGCAGATGTATAGCTAGTATAAATATCCTGCAGTTCATTCCAGGGGCATGACGGAGAAAAGCAAAGTACTAGGATTTAGCAGTGAATGAGTTCATCCTATCACTTAGCGGACTTCCAAAGTAAACCACATGTTGATTAAACGAACTTGTAGAAGCTGCTCACGACGTTTTGGCATTATATGAAAAGTCAAAAGTATAACTAATAATGGACATGGACAGATTTTATATGGAATGTGTGTATTTTAGTTCCTCGAATAGTGACCGAGTGACACATCTTTCCTTAA